GAGGCCTGGGGTTCACATGGGCCAGCAGAGGCCTGGGGTTCACATGGGCCAGCAGAGGCCTGGGGTTCACATGGGCCTCAGGAGGCGTCTGGGCTCATGCTGGCGCCAAGAAGCAGAAGGCACTCACTTGCCTGCCAAGCGGATGATGTCATGCCAAGGGTTTTTTGGGGATGACTGGGGCCCTAGTCCCCCAAACCTCAAGGTCTAACTGGAGTGGCCCCAGGTGTACAGGAAGTACCCAGTGACTGTTCGGGGGAATGAATGCAGTAGACTGTGAGAGGCTGGGGACACACAGCACGAAGCTCTGGAGGGCTGATAAATATAAAATGTGCTCACATATCTAATAGAAAATCCTGTATTCTGGTGTAATATTAAAATGTGATAAATCACGCTTTGTATTACGTAATGGCATTATAGGTGTTTAAATTTATCTTCTATATCTGTATTTACTTATATACACACGGAAGGAAAATAAAGGCAGCACGTTAAAACAAAGGGTGTCATGAAAGTTTCCAGATGTGGTCCACTGGCAGCCTCCAGTGGTCCACTGGCAGCCATTGCCCTCAGATGAGTTCTCTGGTTCCTGTAGTGCGAACAGCTCACTCGCTCTTTCCCACTGCCCTTCCTCACCCTCTGCCCCTGCCTAGCCCACGGCACAGCTCCTGAGCCCTGTGTATGGGCCTGTCTTATATAATAACCATGGGCAAAGAGTCGATTTTTCCTCTAACCCTTGTAAGTTTCCAAGGGTCACCAACCTCCTGGTAAGCTTTTAGGGATTTCTACCATCCACAGTTTCACTGACATGACCCATAGCTTTGTGTTGGAAGGAATAGTGTATATTTCTCATGAGGAATGTTTTTCTCATTTGCTTTTCTTTTTCTGTTGAATTTTTTTTATACATATAAGAACTGGGGTACAGACCAGAGATTTGGGGGTGAGAGGATTCAGCAGAGACAGAGTGGGGAGCAGAACAGACAGATCAATTGAAATCCACTGCTGAGGGGAGCAGTGGGAGAGAAAGGAGAGATCTGCTGCACCATGTGGGTCAGCTCCCTGGCTGCAGACAGCTTCATGGTGATGCACTTTAACCCTTTGTGCCACCAGTGAGGCTCTTATTTGCTTTTCAACCCACATGTCCAACCCTGTTTTGAGTTTCTGTCTTTCAAACCACATGACTTAGGGCTCATGAACAATTGATCTTTCAGACTTGTGGTCTTTGGAAAGCAAAATTACTTAGGCAAAAATTTCAGATAGCCAATAGCTAATCGGTATTACGTGATGTTCAGGAGGGCAGGATCTGACCTTTAATTCATCTAATTTCATATGGTGGGGAGTCATCCTTTTAAGGAAGGAGATTTGTTCTACTATGTGACCAACCAAACTTGGCACAACAAGCTTGGTTACACAAGGTCTTCCACAGGCATGGACTGAGTGCAAAGTTGTATTCTGCTTGCCATGACTGGAGAAATAGGGGCAGAAGATAATTTTGCTTTTATTAAGGCAAAATTAGCAGCCTGCAAAGTAAAGGAGGAGCCGAGTCTAGGGATTGAGTCTGGGGCATGGGGCAGCTAGATGGCTGAGGCTGTTTAACCTGAAGTATAAAGAGAACAGGTAATTGCTCAACATGAGAAGTCCCTTCCCCTTCACAAATTCCTTTTCTTGCTGCCACTGAGAAATTTGTGGCTCTTACCTCTGAGGCTTCAAGTGTTTCTTTTCAGATAAGTCCTACCATTTCCTGAGCGCTTTATGTGGGTAAGAGAGAAAATGGTCTAAGAAGTGGAAAAGCAGTACAACATTCATGCATTCCTGACCTTTTTTGTGAGGCAAGATGGAATTGCAGCCAAAATCTGTGATCTTCACCACCATCCGACTGTCTACCACACAATTGGTGGACTTGAGACGACCATGGACTTCTGTCTTGCTGGAGTGTAGATAGGACATGCCCTGTGGTTGTTCATAGGAAAACGAGGAGAAGAGGTGAGGAGAAACATAAGCTAGCAGCATGGTTTCCTAATAAATGCCAAGTCCCTGTTTATATACAGTTAGTGTAATTTTGAGACAGACCAGTAGCCTAGTCCCATGTGAGCCAGGCTGGCCAGCCCAGATCCAGCATGTTCTTCAGCTGCTTCAGTGTTTAAAAAAAATGAATGACCTCTGTTACTGTTTCACACACAGTTAGAGTCACACCCTCACACTTCAAAAGGACTGCACTTTCAAAATACTATGATGGTGCTAATATTTGCCTAAGTGCTGCATCTAGATGTGTTCAAGTCTCTCAGGTGACACAAAATGGTAGTTGTCTAAAGAGTCTGAGTAGTGGCTTTTAAAAGCTGCATATAATATGAAGCAAAGGTTAGCAAATCCTTTTTCTTTTGAAGTATTTCATTACCACCTGTCTGACCTGTGACCCTGAAGGTGAGCTCTCAGGTGCTCTGATGACTTCAGGTACAGGAATCACATGGCTATGCCTTTTTGAAGGGAAGGTCTAGGTTAGATTATTTCTTAAAATCTAGCCAGTTTCGTTCTATTTTGAAGGGGGAAGCCTCTTTTGGGGAGTAGCTTGGGGTCTTGCTTTTTGCCTGCTGTGCTTCTCTCTGGTGGCCAGATGTGTTATTACAGACACTGGTTTTCAATGTGTAATGAACCACAGGAGTGAAATGTGGCCCTCCCCCAAAATGGTATCTGTAGTGTTTTTTTCCCCAAAATTGTTCTGATCCTCTGTAGTTTTCAGCTTACCTAAGCTGAACCCACTCATACGATCAACTTTTCTTCAGATTTAAATGAGGTGTCCTTTACTGACACCCACTTCCTTTTTCTTATTGTGTCTGGGAGAAGCAAATTCACTCTTGTCTGGTGCAAGATCAATGCCTCTTTTTCATATTTGTTCTTATAAGGATATAGTCCTCTTCCCTGCAACTCTATGTGATTTTTATTCTCAGCAAAATTGAAAATGAGTCTTTAGCCTAATGCTGAAAGAATCTACTAATAAAACGCCACTGTCTAGTAAACACTGGGCTTTAGATAAACACAGGAATTGTTAGTGAAACCCTCACAGGTAGCCTATGACACAGGTGTACTTTTATCATTTTTCTGAGCAGAAAACCAGTGCTCGGAGAGGCTGATACCTTGCTGGGTTAGCTTCCTGTAAACGTCTTTAACATAGGTCTCTTACCTTAGCAATGTCATACAAGACAGAGATCTTAAACTCCCAGTCCATGAACGTTCCATCAGGGTAGGAAATTGTGTCATTCAAAACTTCCTGGATGGGGAGAAAAGGAACAGGAGAGGATGATCTGGGGCCAGGTGCGCCGTGTGGGACACTGTCATAGCAAACAGTGACCTTCAAATCAGGAGTCCTGGGATCAGGAGCCAAGAGGACTGCGTGGCCCTGGGGTGCAGAATGTGTGTTTCCTTCCTCTCCCACTTAAGCACGAAGTGTGGCTGCGCAGGAGAACCACATCCCAAATCCAGGACTTCCACCTTCAGGGACGAGCAGACACTCTTGCCGGGAGACGGGCCCCCGGCTGTGTCCTCAGAGTTACAGCGGGGCTTGTCAACAGGGAGCTGCTGTCAGCAAATCCTTTTGTGCACCTTGGCTTTGCTCACATTATCAGCTGGACCCTTTGGCTTCACAGCTATAAGCTTTTGAAGTCCTCTGTCAGCAAAACAGTTTGAGCATTCTTGTGTGATCTTTTAAAATTAGCAGTATTTTCTATGTGAGTGCTAGACCATACTGATTTATTTCATTTCAATGAGAGAAATTTTAGGTGCCAGTTGGCAACCTGGTCGGCGTCACATGGCCTTTTATCCCTACAACGGCCAGTCCACGCTGGACATGGTGTTTCTGGCTCCCTACCGTAAGCAGGACTTGTCCCCCGCCTGAGTGGCCTTGGACCCCTCCAGGATCCTTGTTATTGGCTGAGGACAGGCAGCACGTGTGGCATCGTGAATCTCAAAGGCACAGCTGAGCCCAGGCAAACTGCAGTCCCCCGCCTGGGATCAACTCTGCAACTTCTGCCTGTGGCAGAGTGCATCAGAACCTACTTTGGTGGGAAACAAAGAAGAACGCCTCTCCCTAGACTATGACCTTGGCTGAGAGCTCGCTACTGAACCAGCAGTGGCTCCTGAGAGAGCCGGGTTTTAACTAAGCTTATTTAATAAGTAGGTGTTCTTGGCACTCCCTGGTGGCACAATGGCTTAAAGCGCAGCTCCATAAGCCAGTCACAGCTGCTTCAGTGCAAGTTTCACCCCAGGCCTGGAGCTGACCCACATGACTCAGCAGACCTCTCTTGACCACCCGCTGCTCCCTTCAGCAGTGTGCTTCATCAGTCTGCCTGTTCTGCTCCCCACTCTGTCTCTGGTGAAGCCTCTTACCACCTCTGCACCTCTGGCCTGCACCCCAGTTCTGTATGCATAAATAAATAAAATCTTAAAAAAAAAAAAATAAGTAGCCATTCTTCACAGTAGAACTCCTACTGACAACTTCATAATAGTTTCTTGTTTGGGGAAATAAGCCAATAGGACCGTTAGTTTTAAGACAGCATCAGTAGTTTCCAAAGATGCATTCAAAGTAGTCTGCCATTCTTATCCACTGGCTGGACAGTGGTGGGCAGGCTGAGTTACAGAGAGTCAGAGTAGTGGACTCTCAATCACTCTTTCTCTTAGGACTCGGCATATGTATGTTGTTAGCTTGTTACAGCTTTTTCCTCTGATAATTTTTGTTCACTGCTGTACCTGCCTGGCACTTGATAGATGTTTCATCCGTATTTGTTACCTGAATCAGTGGCTCCACACAGGCTTACAAGCTGGGAAGCAGACAGTCCTTAGTCTGAGTAGGGAGAGGCTCTCTCTGTTTCCAGCAAAGTAGGTCTGATGGGCTCTATCTACCACAGGGGGGGCGCCGTGATAACCCCAGCCGGGGGACTGCAGTTTGCCTGGGCTCAGCTGCGCCTTTGAGAGTCACGATGCCACACGTGCTGCCTGTCCTCAGCCAATAACAAGGATCCTGGAGGGGTCCAAGGCCACTCAGGCGGGGGACAAGTCCTGCTTACGGTAGGGAGCCAGAAACACCATGTCCAGCGTGGACTGGCCGTTGTAGGGATAAAAGGCCATGTGACGCCGACCAGGTTGCCAACTGGCACCTAAAATTTCTCTCATTGAAATGAAATAAATCAGTATGGTCTAGCACTCACATAGAAAATACTGCTAATATTTAAAGATCTGAAATTGTTTTGCTAGAAAAGTGTTTATGATATTAGCATCAGTTTGAGTGATTATTTATAGCATTAGTCAAGATGCTCACATGGCTTGTGCTGCTTAAAGGTATAGCAGGACCAATGGACAAAGCCGGCAGGACTAGTTCTGGTATAGCAGATGGACCCACCGCCTTTCCCGGTAATTCTCTGGTATCCTTTCATTGAATGAACATCTTAAAACTGCCACACATAATTTTACCCCTCACACGGCTGGCCAGTGAGGAAACTGGAAATGGTCATGTTTCCTTACCCGGAGGGATCCTCTCTCACAGTACTCCACCACCCCAAAAATTGTCGAGTCCAGCTTCACTGTGCCGTAGAACTTGGTGAGGTTGTAATAGTCGATCTGAAGCAACTGAGAGGACATGTTTATTTACTAAGGCAGAATGTGCCAGAATAAACATGATTGCGCTAATAAAACACAGATATTTTAGATCTTTGGGAAGATGCATTGCTACCTCAGAACATCAGTTCCCTCTTCTGACCGCAAGCTCTATTGCATCATACTTGAGTCTTCCATTTTTAGCAAGGGATGGAATACAAATTTGGCCACTCCAAAACAATACCTTTCCCTAGAACAGGCTAGTAGATTTACAAAATGTTTTACACGGTCAGACTTCACTCTTCAAAAGCTCTTGCTAGGAGCATAAAGGACCAGGGGGTAAAAAAAATAATAATAATTAACAACTATATACCAGAGACACTTTTATGGGAGTGGAGCAGGGAATGGGATCAAAAATGGGGGAGGAGGAGTGCATGGGACTATGGTGATGGCACACACAGGGATAACAACTGAGATGGAAAAAGGCACAAAATGATGTAAAATTAAGTTATATATATAATATTATATACGTATTATCTAATTATAATTATGTTATTTTATATATATAATACATATAATATATACTATATATATATAGCTCTTGCTAGAATTTTCAATAAGCAGTCACCCATTTCTTGGTCTGAGTGTTTCCGAGTCAGCATCCCCAATAACTACCGTGATAACTGGGGTGCTACCTTACCACATTGGGAACCTCAGCACCTGGGGAACATGGAATCAATCTCTTTACTAAGAGTTTCCAGCAAGCAACACATACCTTGTTCAGCTCTATCTTCTGTTTTTCAGTGAAGTTGCCATCGTTGTGTTTGAGGTCCTTCAGAATCACTCGCTGCAAAGGCAATGGGTTGAGGAGAGAGTGCACAGAGGAACACTGCCTGCACGCGGTGAGAGCCGGCCTGTGCGTGTCTTCCCACTACACTAACTTCCCGGGGGAAGAGGCAGTCTTTCATTGGTCCTGAAGCACGGTGGGCTCTGGCCTGATGCTTTCTTTAAGTTGACTCAGTGAGCAGAAAGGAGAGAAAGGGAAGACGGTAGGATGGTGGGAAGACTCCCATATGAAATTCTCATATTCCCACTGCAGAGCCAAAATACTAGGGTTGCCAGACTGCTCTGAACCTCTTTTACGTTTCCCTTTCCTTCCTTTTCCACTCTTCCTAAAAATGTTTTATCTGTCCTTTAATTTGTCCAGGACTGTGAGTTTCTGATGCAGAGCCCTGCCCACCCCAGAACAACCCTCTGAAGCCCACTGTCCCCAGCCCCTGGGGACATGGCCTCCGCTCCCTCCCCCACACAGTCCACATCAGGAGCTGGAACACCGCTGAGGGAAAGCCAGGGAGCAGGGGAGACCACAGTCACCTTTTTGTCATACTTGCACTGTCGGAGTCGCTGAATTGTATCTCGTCTCTTGTCATCATCGATCTGGTCAAAGGAAAGACTGATGGAGCAGAAACCACCTCTGGCCCAACCGACCCAGCCCACCGAGGTTGAGAGGTTCAAGCAGGTGTCTGTACCTGCCCTCTCCAGGTAACTGCCTTCCTTGTGGGTAAGAGCGCTCAGGCTTAACACTGTTTTCCGCTCTTCCTCTTCTGGGCTCCGCTTTTCTACCTTTCTGCTAGTGAACTGCCTCAGCTGGGGCCTTTCTCCACTCCCTCCTTGCCCAGCCCCTTTTTATGGAGAATCGCTGCCTGTAGACACAGACAGGCTCATGGGAGCTTGCTGTGCACCTGAGCTGCTCACCTGCCTGCAGCCCAGTAGCCGTGAAGGCGAGGCATCAGGCCTGGGGCTGGTGGACAGCCACCCTATCAGCTCTGGTTCAGCCTACAGCTGCCAGTGCATCTGATCTGCCCAAAGGAACTGCTAATATGGATTTTTTCCATGCCAGTTTAAGAGTTTATGGGTTGGCAGTTAATTTTAAAAGATGTTAAACATTCATTGAATCTCTCTTTAAAGCCCCTATCCCTGATGGCTAGATTTAATCTGTTAAACTTTTGATGTAAAGATTTAAAAAAAAGCTGAGAATGCTTGCATCTTCCAATTTGGTTCTCATCAAAACCAGTTGTGTATTGTAATATTCGTTAATATTTACACTTTGAGAAGGCGCCCATCCAGTTTTGTCCAGGAGGGGGCAGCACTCACTCCAGCTAAAGGCCCCGCTGGCCTTTCTGGGCTCTGTTAGGTTAATAAAATCTCCCTTGAGAAGTCCAATGGTGTCATGTGAATTGACAAAAGATGGATTTCATCTTGACACTTGCTGAGAGAGATGGGCTTGGCGAAGGGTAGTTGTCGGTGTGAGATTCAGAAGGCAGCAGAAGGGCCAGTTTAGAAGGTGGAGCACTGGGGAGAACCAGAGACTTGGATGTCTGCACAGCGCCTATGATCGACTCGTGCTGCCCTGGCACTTGATTTGAGGCAGGGAGGCACCTCAAGTCACACCATCCAATTGGTGTGGCCCTGCCCTGAGGGGTCCTACTAATTCTTCCCAGGGAAAGTCTGCATCTTCTCCTCCTCTTGTCATATTTTGGTATAAAGACTCATGAGAATGGGATGGAGGGAGGGCGTTGGGATTTTCAGCTTCACACTTCGACTGGGTAGAAACCACGGCTTCACTCCTGACATTCTAGCCCTGCTTCCTCCTCACAGGACTGGGGGAGGAGAAGGGGAAGGCATCTGGACACAGGCTGTGCAGAGTGTCAGCTGCTGGCAGAGGGTACCCCCACCAGGGTGTGCCAACTTGCCCAGTTCTTAACCCTTCAGCTCCTCTTTAGCAAAGCTGTGATTATAAAGCTCAACTCCAGCGCTCCTGGAGAGGAGGAGACAGGCAGGGTCTGTCTCTGACTGCGATGAATGGGACAGAGATGCTGCTGCTCTTTCCTGGTGGGGGAGGATGGGGCAAAGCCAGTAGGTTTCTTCAGCAACCAGCAAGATTGGCAAAAGGTGCCCAATACGGATGAAGGAGGAGCCAGGGTTCAGTGGCACTCAGCATAGCCCCCTTTCCTACAGTCCTCCCAGGACAGACCCACAATGTGGGCCTTTCTCTCCCCCGGTCAGATGCAGAGACACACTCAGGAGTCCATAAGAGCCGGTGGACAAACAAGCTGCCTTTGGGGCAACGTGTGTCCAGGAAGACAGGAGGCTGAGGATGAGCCTCCTGGGAAGACCTGGGAAACAGATGATTCCTTTCTAGAAATTTCCTTCGTGCTTCCAAGATCTGGCTGAGGGCTGGCAATCTTAACAGGTAAGGGGTGCCTTACCTTCAGGCTCACTTGGTTGGTCTCATTGGTCTCCAGAGGGAAGATATTTTCAGGAGGAATGTGGGACCATTTTTTCTGACGAAGTTCATTTTTTTTTTTATACTTCCTAAAAAAGAATAGAACCGATCAGCAGGTCTTGACTCGTCCTCAAATCATTCAGCTTCTGGGCATGGGGAGGAATCTCCCCTGATATTCTCGGGTAGTTACATGGTGGGAGAGGGTCAGCCCAACACTGAATCCAGGTTCTCTAAACTAGTGAGTGCCGGCCACCTGCAGACCCCATGAAGGTTCCTGATGCAACTTATAGCCTTTCTTTTTGTTTCACCTTCTCAGGTCCCTCACAATAACAAAGAATCGGAAGTGATGATATAGAAAGAAAGGGGAAAAAACGAGAGAAAATGCAAAACCAGTAACCCCAAAATCAAAAATCTCAAATTTCAACAACCAGGAAATCTACCAGACTCCTAAATAAGCTAGCTCTTCTTATGCATCTGTGCCTTTAAGAAAAGTTCTGAAGAATACAGGAAAACACAGAGAAAATGTTACATGTATTGCATTATTTTAAACATCAGGATTTGGGCCCTCCCTGGTGGTACAATGGGTTCAAGCTCAGCACTGTGAGGCTATAGGCAGCCAGTGCAACATGAGTTCTGAGTTTGATCCCCAGCCCTGGAGGTGACCCACATGGCACAGCAGACCTCTCCTGTCCCACCCGCTGCTCCCCTCAGCAGTGTATTTCAGTAAATCTGCCTGTTCTGTTCCCCACTTTGTCTCTGGTGAATCTTTTCACCCACCACACCTGTACCCCAGTTCTGTAAGCATAAATAAATCTTAAAAAAAAAAAAATAAGTCTAAGCCACACATCTGGCAAATCACAGAGCTTGGGTCTGAAGTGTCTCCAGAGCTCTCATCTGTCCATGACGAATACCCTGCCAGAGTCCTTGATGCAGATCTCAGCTGTGCCTAGGGTGTCTCCGTGACCTTAGGTCTGTCTAAGGGTGTCTTCATGACATACACCACAATCAGCAGACCCCAGCCTCCCGCCAGCCCTGCAAGAGGGGCACAGCAGGACAGAGATGGTACCTCAGCACCAGGAGTGCGATGAGCAGGAGCAGGATCACGAATCCTGTGAGGGTGAAGACGGCAATCATCAGGATCTGAGGGCCTGTGGCAGACAAGGCAGTGGGAGCTCATCAGTTAAAGCCTTCGGAAAGTATGCGAGAGGCCCCAGTTGTATATTGGAACTTGATTAAGGGAAAGGGGGGAGCACTTTTAAAAGTATTTATCTTTTATTAATCTCTTCACTGGAGATGTATGCCCCGTGCCCTTGAGTCCCTGAAGAAAACTAGAAAAACGTCCAGGGGAGGCCAGTAACCAAATTTGATTTAACAGAGGAAGAAACTCACACTGAGAGAAATGACTTGACTGAAATGAACACTACATTTATGCAGACTGGACATGTCACAGTTCTCTCACATTGCTGTGAGCCTTGCTCCTCTCTTCCCCTCTTCCCTCTGGCCACGGGAAACAGGTGTGAAGAATGGACCCTGTGTTTATAGCATGTATGATGTAGAAAGGTGTAGAAACAACCGCCTGGAAAAAAATCTTAGGAAAGGTGAAATTCCAGCTAAATATTGAGGTTGTTTGGGGGAATGACACAATTTAGTAAAAGGAAGTTGGATAAATAAGGACCAGGGGCATCAGGTTGCAAGACCAGGCTTTCAGGAAGTAGTCACTGAGGGAGTGGGAAAGGGATGGCAGTGGGGAGGGGAGATAAGGCAGAGGAAGTTGGTGAGGAGATGATGACACGGGTGCTGTATCAAGCCCAAAACTTGGTGCATCAGGTCAAGCAGAGCTACAGCAAGATACTGGCGATGTATGCCAGGATGAGGAACAGGAAGCAGAAGTGCATTGTCTGTGGTCAAGTGTTTGAAACTTTGCCTGGCATTGAGTGAATCCTAGTTGAATGACCAAAAAAGACAGCAATGAAGAAACCACTAGAAGAAATGCTGTGTTACTTAGCTGGCAATCTGCATACAATGAAAGACCAGGTATACTTTATTTGGATACTATTTAAAAGACTCAGTCATTTTCTCAAGTTTAAAGCTGGAAGTTTTAACTCTTAAGTTGTGAAAAATTGAATTTTCCAGTTAACTGAGGATAAAGTGAAATTTCCTAGGATGTAATGTCCCTGTCGTGTAGAATGTGTAGTATGTGAATACTTAGTATGATGTCTTTAGTAGAACTGTGCCAGAAATCACTTCTTGAAAAGTTTACAAAGAACAGACCTTCTATTCAATTACCAAAATATCTAAAAACTCCTAAATATAATAAAAACACAAGCCTAACTTTGTCACTGAGGGTTATAAGTAGGGAAGGACAGTAATTTTAACTCAATAAGTTGTAATGGGAAGAAGCAACAAGAATTGCAGAATCCTTGAGAAAAGATTTCAGAGATAAAGCCTGGCTTCAAACCTAAGAAGCTTGAAGATGGTTCTAGAGATAATTTTAAAAGCTTGTTAAAGAAAAGACAGCAACTTAAGAAAACATTAACAGCAAATCTGAAGTCAGCTCAGGGCTGCTTATCATTCAGAATCAGCCTCTAGGCTTTAGTAAACTGCTCTTAGTTATTGAATCAAAGCACAGGGTTCATTCAGAACCAAAATTGATTCATGGAGCCAAACACAGTTAACAGCTTTAACCCAAATGAGGCGCACTGAAAACCTGGCTGGTTTTTTTTTTTTTTTAAAGTTATATTAACCTTTCAGTCAGTATCTGTCTGGGGTAGTTCTAGTTTATCTTCTTTATGTTTTTTAAAAATGATAAATTATACAGTCATGAAAGTTTTGGAATATTACAACAAGTGTTAAAAAAAACAGAAACAGAAATATATTTGCCAGGATCCTACTACTCAGAGCCACCACTATTCACATTCTAACATATTTCTTTATAATCTTACATACATTTCTTACAATGTTCTCTACATTGTTTTACAAAGTTAGAATCTCATTACAGCAAAAGTTGTTTGCCTTGCTTAGTGAAATAAGCCAGAAAGAAAAGGAAAAATGCCAGAGGGGTTCAGTCATAGCAGGAGTATAACAGACCAGGCAAAAAAATAATAATGAACAGCTATAGAGCAGAGACATTTTGTGGGGGTGCAGTGGGGAATGGGATCAAAGACAGTGGGGGGAGGGAAATGCACTGGACTATGGTGATGCACATGGGTGATTTAGTGATGGGAAGCCCAGGAGGATTACAACTGAGATGCACAAAATGATGTAAAAATAAACTATTATATTATTTTTAAAATTTTTTTAAAAAGTCGTTTGCCTATTACATGTCCTAAGTTTTCCCAAGTCACTTATCTTTTTTTAAATTTATTTTTAATTGGTTGTAGTATCTCCACTTACAAACTTATCCTAATTCTTCAAGTCATTTTGTTAATGGTGTTTGTACTTTTGCAATTTGGGACTAAATATTTGTCCAAGTTTAAACTGTTTCTTCTAAAAAGATTAGTAATTGACTGACTTTAGTAACTTGGACTGACTTACTGTTCATTGTGACCAGTCTTGGCCAAGTCCTGCATGGACAGACTGTCCTGAGGCCTGCTGCCCAGCAGACTCATGTTGGCCCTGCCCACTAAGGGTGGTGTCACACAATTGCTCTACCTCCTTGCTACAGCCATCAAGCTGGGTCTTCCTCTTCAGTAAGTGGTAACCTTCACAACCCAAGTATATGTCCTCTGAAGGAGAGGGGGAGATGTGACGCCAAGTTCAGTTTGATGACATCAAGTGTTTGCTAAAATATAGATCCTTTGAGTCCAATTGCAGTTATCATAAATATAAGACTATATGACTGCGCTCACATTGTCAACTGTCAAATCTAACTTTCTAGAGAGTCATATCAAAAGGTAGTACAAGACATTGTAAGCACAGATAGAACTAAATTAATATAGGGATTATTTTCAGTTTTCATCAGAATTGTATTAGCATTCATTTTGCTAGGGGGAAAAACACATTTAAAAACCTGGCAAATCTAATTTAGGCAATAAACAAAAAACAAAACCCATAGGCTACTGCATAAATGATGCAATTTACTTTCCTTTCCAGAAACAATTCACTGAGGATATCTTACCCTGGCCTGGGATATCATTAGGAAGTTTCTGATTTTTCCAGATGAATGTTGGGTTTGTTTCCACCCAGAAAGTCATGTTTAGGTGTGTCGCATACTTTAAAAGAACTTCGTACTGTGTCAAAGCATGAAAAAGAAGGTAACAGAAAATGACATTTTAGAATGGCTTCTAATGCCCATTGACTGTCCCGCCCAACGATATTTGAGTCTCACAGTAGGTACCTGGGTGAGACAATTTAACTGTTAAGCGCTGTGGCGAGTTGGGTCCCCTGTACTAGCTCACAGCCTGAACATGAATTTAAGTTCCAGGTGGCTGACTAGTTTTCTGTCTTCTTTATATCACACTTGGCTAGAAGCTGCCTGACATGGATTTGTTAGGCCTTTAGAGAACTAGTTTGTCTCTCAATTATGACTGTTAAGACATAAGAGAAAGTAAATGTTTGTTTCAAGTCACAAAAGGAGTGAAATTCTCATGTCTTCCACAATTATTAAGTCACTATTGAAAATGGTTTCTTGAGAAAAATTCATTACAGTGAAAGTTCATTTTTATATATGTCAAGAGGTTCTGAAATGATGCTAAATTTTTTTTTTACATTATTTTTTTTTAACTGAGTTGTTCCTTTGAGTCAAACTGGTGAAATGATGCTTATCTTAAAGACAAGTCATATGGAGAACCCAGGAAGGCTGTGATTTAGTTGTTGTATGTTTGGAAGGCAATTTTCTTAGACATGTGTGCCAATTCAATGTATATTTTGTTAGTAAATACATCTCAGAGTGACTACAAGTTCTGTCAACATAACTTTCAAATCTCCTGCATGCCTTTTGCTTTAATGCACTTCCCTGTACATGATACTAAATTAGAGTTCTAAGATAAAAGGTTTCTTTTTCAAGTAATCTATCAAAAGGTATATTAATATATCCTTAAATCACTCTTGTATGTATTGAGTGAACTTTGCAAGAGACATCTGAAAAGTCACAATTCTAAATTTACTACCATCCCCTCAGAACATTCTAGATAGAAGTTTCACAATTTCAAAACTTTAGTATTGAGAGGATATTGAGGATAGGACATAATTTCCATATCTCAATGATGCACACCTAATGTTTATATGCTATAATGCAATGTTGCTTGATTACAGTGAGTGAATTTTAAAATGAAAAAAAAAAAAAAATAGTTCCTACTAAGGTAAGGAATAAAGATCTCTACCGGACATACTCAGTGTAGGATGACTTATCTACCGCCTTATGACTTGAAAATAAGTTCCTGATTTCCCCACATGTAGAAGGCATGTAGCATAACTGATGGCCTTAAAGAAATGTTCCCGGGCTCTCCCTGGTGGCGCAGCGGGTTAAAGCACAGCACTAAGAAGCTAAAGCCACTGCAGCATGAGTTCGATTCTGCCTGCCCCAGAGGTGGTCCACATGGTGTGGCAGACCTCTCCTGACCCACCCGCTGCTCCCCTCAGCAGTGTACTTTGTCGATCTGCCTGTTCTACTTTCCATTCTGTCTCTGGTGAATCCTCTCACCGCCCTGCACCTCTGGTCTGTACCCCAGTTCTGTATGTAGAAATAAATATTAAAAAAAAAAAAAAGTAATGTTCCTAGCACTCTGCCTTCAGAGACAGTGCACATTCTTCAGTGTGAAGAGTACCAGGAAGCTGCCCGTAGACCTCACCACGGGGCCTGACTCCCTGCAGGGAAGGCAAAGTGTCCTCAGGGGAGCCCTAACTCAGGGGAGGGTAGTTATCTCTCTAGTTCCTACACGTCAATCACACAGCGGTTTTATTTAAAGATATTCCCATGGAATATTGACCAAACTGTTATCATTTTTAAGGTTCAATGTAGTAACTGAGAATCATAGCTTACTTTTCTGAAATACTAAATTTGTTTTCTGACAATTCTGGGCATAATTTTCTCAAGCTGGTCATCTTTTTCTCCAGGTTTCCACATTTTCACTATAAATCTTTTATATAAAGCAAGGTCAAAATAAAGATGGACACTCAAATGTAGGGTGTAAGGGTGTCATGAAGTTCACACTGGAAAATCATGTGAAAAGATGACTTCTCTTAGATTTCTAGTCATGTCAGCACCTCCCCTCTTAAAGGAAAAAAATAAAACAACTTCCTATGACTATATGGCCAACGAGAACAGCATTTTCAGCTTGTCACTCATACAACCTTGGGTGCCAGATAAGAAGTTAAGCTTTGGGGACATGGAGAGAAATGAGACATACTCCATTTCTAAATAACCCACTGTGTGCATGAGGAGAAAGGATATAATGTGGATAAAGGCATAACACTGTAGGGTTGTTTGTATATTCCAGAGAGATTATAAGACTAATCATTTCATTGAAATTTTCTGTTGTGGAAATGAATAAATAATTCTTAGGGAGAACAATGATCCTCTCATTGCTATCCAAGTCTGTCTTTGTATCAATGTGTCCTGGGTCAGTATTTTTTATAAAGTGAAACAGAGTAGATATTCTGAATAAGAAGTTCTGTAGGCCAAAATCCTTGAAGAATACTGTTCCCAATGGGCCATGATTGTGAATCTAATATACACTATCTTCCAGGATCAAAGCTATTTCTGTCCTCCCAAGTAATCCCTCCTCATCCTGTCACTTCATCCCAAGCTCCTGATAAGGTGTTAGACATACTTTGTTGGAATCCACGTTGGTGTACAGCAGCGCCATGGTGTTATCAATATCCCCATGTTCATCCAAAGTCACAGGACCCACGTACCCTAGGGCAGAACCGGAAAGAGTCAGATACTGTTGCTGACCAGATAGCAAGAACAAGTAGAACTTAACCAAGTATATGAAAATGAGTTTAAATTACTCTATTTTACTGAAAAAAAATTTGATCTTAATGTTCTAATCAGGGGGCACAGGGATTGGTTCTTGACTCCAAGATTTCTGAAGGATAATTTTATGAGAGAAGTTATTTAGTTAGAAGGAAAATCATTTTTCATGGTATTTAAGGTAACAGTGTTATCAATTCCTCCCGATTGTTAGTGACAAGTTTTTCTAAGACTACTTACTAATTTAGAACACGTGAAGGTCACATGCAATCTTAGATTATAAGACCAAAATCCCTTTGTTAAATCACTTAGTGATATTATTAACAAAATTACTTAAGTTCTCTAAGCATCAGTTTTCTCATCTCTGAAATAAAAGTTATATAGGATGAACCTATGAAATGTCTAGTTAAAAAAATGAAGTATCAGCAATTTCACATGCTAAAATTTTGTGTTTACTAGGCTCTATGCTAAGTGATTATAGAAACTGATCACTTTATCCTTCCAGGACATGGATACTATTGTTATTTGCAATTTATTGATGAGAAAACAGATATTAAGTATCTTACTCTAAGTTGTACAGCGTAATTATGACATAAACTGTCTTCTGGTTCTAAGTCTATATTAATGGTCATTCAAACACTGGACTATCATCGTGAATGTGAGAAAATGAATTATGAACATAAGTAAGAGGAATATGGGGAAATGGCTAAAAAGCAGTCAGAAATCCGTGTTCTCATCTTCATCTTTCTTTCCAATGACTGGATAAAGATGTGGCATATATACACAATGGAGCACTATTCAGCAAACAAAAAAGACAAACTCTGCCATTTGCAACAACATGGATGGAGCTAGAAGGGATTATGCTTAGTACAATAAACTAGAAGGAAAAAGAAAAATATTGGAAAAATATATAGGGAAACCTAAAAAAGTGATGAGGGAGGGAAAGAAACCTAGCAGGCAGCTACAAATCAGAGACATTGAGCTGGGCAGGGAAAGGAGAGGAATCAAAATGGGCAGAAAAATCTCAAGAGACTATGATGATGATGATTCAGTGACTTGGTGGTGGGAATTTTATGGAGAAGAGAGAGCAGACATTGTACAAAAATGAAAAATGATGTGTATATGTATGTGTGTGTGTATGTGTATGTAAATATATTTTAAAAGCATTAAAAAAAAAAAAAGATGTCCTTTGGAATTCTGAAGTGTACTGAAGGTCTGTAACTTCCAGAACAAAATTTACATGGTAAATTGCGATTAAGTTTAGTCCATTTTGCCTCTAAGCACAGGGCCATGATCTCTCCCCTCAGTGCCTTGGCAGGCTGTTGCCACGTATTCCTCAGGCAGTCAGCACACAGTCTAAAGGAGTCAGGGTCAGCAGATAAGCACTATGTCCATAAATCATTTTGATTTAGTATTTTCATGTTCTTAGTATAGTTACCCAGGGATGGTGAAATTTCTGTACTTCTAAAGGAATGTTAATACTGTTTTCTACATGGATGAACTGGTTTACATTCCCAATAGAGTCCTAGTTTTTTGGTGAGAGTATGGAGAGATATTTATATATATAAATGTAAATAAAAACCAACATGACATATCACTTCTCACCTCTCAGGATGATTATTATGAAAAAGACAAGGAACAAGAATGCTGTTAAAGGTATAGAGGGGAAAAAAAAAAAACACCAAAAAACTAGGATCTATTGGGAATGTAAACCAGTTCATCCATGTAGAAAACAGTATTAATATTCCTTTAGAAGTACAGAAATTTCACCATCCCTGGGTAACTATACTAAGAACATGAAAATACTAAATCAAAATGATTTATGGAGCGCTAAGATCAATGTGGCATTATTTGCAAAAGCTAATATTAGGAAACAAACTAAATGCCCATCAAAGATGAAAAAAGTCATGGAACAAACACACGAATGGATAAAGAAATTGTGGAATCTATGTGCAGTGGAATACTACATAGCTGTGAAAAGAGATAAACTAATGCATTTGGGACCAAATGGATAAACCTTGAGGAGATTAAAGTGAAATAAGTTTAAAAAAATGGAAATACATATATCAGAAGGTTTCACTCATGTGTAGAACACAAATAACCAAAACACATTGGCACAATATATTAAGAATAAATATTGAACTCAGTAAAAAAAATATAGTGGTTACTAGAAGGAACAGGGAGGAAGGAAGGAGGGCTGGGATAGGAAAGCAGATGGGATACTGGTTGGGTGGTTTAATGAAGAGCAATTGTGAACATATGCATAATGAAAGACCAAAATAAAAATAAAAATGTTAAAATAAAGAATGTAAAACAGTATAGCCACTGTGGAAAACAGTATGCAGTTCAAAAAATAGGATTTCCATTTGATCCACTATTACTCTTCTAGGATAGACTCAAATAAATGAAAGACAGGGTCTCAAGGGTTATAAAGGAATATTGTTCCTGTTCATAGGAACAGTAACAGGAATGAACAGGAACAATATTCACATTAGCTAACACATGGAAGTACCTCAAGTATCCACTGACATGTGAATACATCAGTAAAATGTGCTAGGTCCATACAGTGTAATGTTAACCTGCAGAGTCTCCAGGCAGAGCCAGTAAATCACTACCACAAATTTCCCGTGATGAGTTTATTCATAAGTATAGGACCTGAACTACTTCTCTTCTTTGAAATCCAAAGATTCTGATATTCTGCAGAATACACCAGGGTCCAGTATTAGTAGCAGCATCCCCAAAGTTCCAGCCATGAAGTCTGCTCCAATTAAAGTCAAAGGTATTGAGCTACTGATCCACCTATCATTTCACCCTTCCCATCTCCACCCTATATATCCTGAAGCCTGTATTTCTTCAACTTTCTGTATTAGCATCGGTGAAGTTTGTGTTATTGGCTCCTAGTAGACCCAGTACCTTGAAATGTGAGGTTTTTGAAAGCTTGAGTAAATTTGGAACCGTTCAAATCATCTCCATTTTCAAGAAAAATTTTCAGCATGTGTCCAAAGAGCAAGACTCCATCCAGGTAGGCAAGAGCAAAGTTGTTTTTTACCTGAATGAGAAAGGAAAATCTTAAGTTTAAAGAGGAGACACTTGGCCTGGGCCTGAAACAGGGTAACTAGAAAAATTCTATGGGAATGACTGGGAAGGAAATCAAGGAGAGTTCTGGAAAGTATTTCCTTGAGTCGGGGTTCTTTATTATCCCCTTATCACAGTTCTGCCTTCTCTTGGGTATTAATCAACCTAGAACACTCCTCATCTAGGTAAGTACCTCAATGCAGTTCTCATGGTGATAACACATCACTTCAACTAGGAAGGCTAGCAGACAGAACCTTTATAATTCTTACAAGATTTTAAACAGAAACAATGCACCCTGGCAGTTAAATGTTGTCACTGTATAGGAAATAGAACTGCAACAGAAGCCACCCTGTTTGCTATCCTGATGCTGGAAGTGTGGGTTGGCTGGTAGCAGTGAGCATACTTAGTGGGCAGTTCTGACTGGGAGTTCCTTCAGACCAAATCCCTGCCTTGGGAACAAGTGGGAGGGTCAGAACTCTGCCTGTGACATGGGCATGGCCATATGCACAGAACTGGGCCCGGATGGCTGAAAAGCTCTGTGCTCCCCACGCCAAGTGAGCTCAGTTGGTTTTGGCATTTTGATTTGTCCACATATGACAATCACACTTTTGCCAAGGTCTAGAAGTTATGCAGGTAATTTCTAACAACTACACCAGAAAAATATTTGCTAAGAATTATTAAAAGAAAAAAAAAAAAAAAAGAAAAACCTTTCATTTTAAAGATTGATTTTGCTAAAAATTGTTGCATGAGATGAAAGAGAATCCAGTTAAGACCCAGGGCTGTTGCAACCTCATGTAAAACAGGGGGCTTGGAACTACTCGTCTAGGAAAACTGATCTTCCTAAAGACACCCACCTTTCCTTAGAGTTCTCGGGACCTGGCCCTTGGCTTGCCGTGCACAAAGTCTTGCAGACCTGTCTAGACTGCCCCTTCCCTCCTCCTCCCACCCCAAGGCTGCTCTGAGGGCAGAACAATAGCTGATGAGTTGAATCGCATTGAAGTGCAGTGACTGACAGAGCTCAGCTGGGCTTTGATATGAGAATCAAGGGCCCTGAATTATACTAAGTAGAATTGATTTCATGTCTAAATGGAGGTCTTTTTTGCTGGTACAAATACTAAACTAGATGGGATGTTGGAATAAATCAGAAGTCTCCCGGACAAGTATGGACAATAGGCAAACTGATTATCACAGAGAACTATGTCTCAACCTCTCTCTAAAGGTACCATTTTAACATCAGTGACAACAGAAATCTGCTTTAGGAGGTAGGGTCTTCACAATTCTGCAATTTAATTTCCTTCTCTCACTTAGCAGTGCTCACAAACATCCTCCACTCTTCCTTCCCTTCTAGCATTATAGGAGTGTCTACTGTTTAGTAGAGCAGAACAAGGGTTTAGTGCTTAGAACAATGACTTGGAGTGACAGTGTGGACAGGAATCTTGCCATTATGTCCATTGTTGATCTCAGTGAACACTGGTTGAATCAATTTAGGTCTTGAGTAGAACACTCTCTTACCCTTGACAAAGAATAGTGTGTGTGTGTACATATAAAACTTACCAGTGAATCATTCTTGGGTACAGAGACATTTGAGTTGTGAGTTTGAGGAGGCAGTGTCAGAACAAGAACATTTTTCATATAGTCTGGGGCTGTGACATTGTCCTGGAAGTAGTGGGTACTGTAATAAAAAGCAGAGCCACCAGAAAATTAGGCTTCCCCAGCAACCAAAATGGATCTTCTACCATTGACACAAAATGTAACACTAGCCTTAAAAATATTTCAAAATATGTTCCCCCGTAACCTGCCACATTTTCTCCAGATGGTCTAATTTTTGTCTACATTTGCTAAGTCAAATAAGACAACTCAGGTAGGTCTGGTTAACATACACTAAAGAAAAGACCTCAGAATACAGATCCTTTTAAAATGGGAGGCTGGGGGTGGGGGTGGGGATCTGGACTTGTGAGATAGTACTGGCTTTCAAGGGCTAATGATTTGGCTTACATATGGAAACTTTTTTTCCTTAAGTAATCACAGAAAATGCAAGCTATTGGGGTTTAATAGAAATGTTCTGAATTAGTCATACCTTTCAGTTGATGAAACAAAAAGCATGAAAAGACTAAACATTTTCTTGCACACTGTAAGCTTCCTGATTTTACTGATGAATCCTTTCTCCTCAACTCCTAGATACCAGCTCCTCACCTCCTGGCACACTGGAAGGCTCTCAGTGCTGCCCGAGGTTCTGTTACAGAGCATGCAGTTTCTCAGCTTCCCCAGTCACTTGAAAAGCAACATGCCAAGAACTGAACATGCTTGCATTGCTCTAACCACGATGAGTGTCATTTTCTATTCAGACAGTAGGCGGGCCCTGAAGGAAGTGAGGCTCTGAGGACCACGTTGCTTATCATACAATCACATCACCCAGGTAGAGAATACATTTTATTCTCACGATTAAGAAGGTTTCATCTCAGCACACTAAGCAATGCCCAGGAAACTAATGGACTAGACATATTAGGACGTGAGCTCAAGTTATGTCTAGTTTTAAAGGAATTGTACAATCTTCCCAAAGTCAGGTGTCCTTGGGAACATGGACAAGGGAATGCCAACCTTTTGGCAGCTGACTGGGGGCTTGCTAAAGTAAAATTATATCAGCCTGGCTACACTGAGGGCCCCTGCCAGAGGGCCCCTGCCAGAGGGCCCCTGCCAGAGGGCCCCTGATAGCAGTTATCAGTGGGGGTTGTAGGAATGAAATGCAGATTAACTCTGCCTTCTTTCCTATACTTCTGCACTGGAAAGGTTGTTAGTAAATTGATTTGATTGTCTTCCTGTGCTCAGACAAGCCTGCAGTTCCTGTGCTTCATTTCCCTAAAACTGTGGAAACCACATTTACTGTGAGGGAATTGAGTAGGCAAATACAGGAAAGACCTAAGGCAGTAACAGCTTCTAGTCTGAATACAGACAAGTAATGATTAACGATCCAGTCAGATAAGTGGAGTCATGTGACCCAGCTGATAGGAATAAGGGGCAGGCTCACTGGGGAGCCCTTCTTTAAGCTGAACTGTACCCAAATATAACTTCATACAATTTGTTGTGTAGTCTCCAAACATGTTAGAAGATGAGTGATAAAAAAAAGGGGCTGTGAAAAAGGGTAGTTTGTGCTCTCCAGAAATTTCTTTTTTTAGTTCCAGATAAGTGTGCCAAGACAGGGCAAAGAATAATTGTGTCAATCAACCTCATTTAACTGGAACTTTCCTCTTACCAAAGGTAGCTGAGGGAAAATTTATCTAGACTCAAAGGCCATCAGCAACTGAAGGCAGGAATATGGCCCAGCTGGCAGAAAATAACATCGCTGGGTTTTCAGGTATCACAACCTGGAGAAAGATCTTAAAATGAGCTTGTAGCACAGGATCTGGGGTTGACTGGGAGGCCCACAGATGGATGGAACCACTAATTTAATGAGGTTCTTGTAAAACGTTTTTGATTTAGACAGACAGCTGATGTCAAAGGAATACATTTCTGCAAGGCTCAGGTTAATCAAATAAGAGGGTGCAATGAAGAAATGAAACACTGGTTAAAGTGTCATCACCACCCAAAACTACTAAGAGATTCTGTAAAGTATGTATTTTGAGATATGCTTGGAGGACTTCCTTTAAGAAAGAAGGACAGTTTTCCCAAATTTTTTACCTACTTGAATAGATCCACCAGAATGATGACAACATCTTCAGGCATCGCCTGGTCCCCTATGAGGGAGTGGATGCTGTCTGGGCTGCCACACGTAACAAGCACTGCAGGGACGAGAGTGAGACAAGAAGGGTCTACATTGGTCTGCAAGCAAATGGGGCACAATCCTGACTTTGAACCCGGTATAGCCAGGCTACTTTATTTAATAAGATTATGTCAGATACTCAAATTACCACTCCCACCACATACACACTTATTTTCCTTTACAATGACAGAATTAGAATTTCACTCATATCTGGAAGGTAGAGAAAATCAAAGAGGAACCAACAAAACTAACTAAACTAAAATCAAGTCTAGAGATATGACCACAAAATTGAGGCTATTAGAGAGTGAAGGTAGGGGTGGGAACAAGGGCAGGTGGGAGGAGAACAGTGATATGCCATAAAGGGCTGTGGGCTCTGAGGGGCAGGTCGTGATGGACATCTGAGGAAGTTATGACTCTATTCCTATGAATCATAAACAGTGTCATAAACCATTAAATAAAAACTTTTAAAAAGCATATAGTGACATAAGGTCTTCAAAAGAATTATGTAGTCAGATGGGAAACCCACGGGGATTACAATTGAGATGGAAAAAAAAATGTACAAAATGATGTAAAAATAAACTGTTATAAAATAAAATAAAATAAAACCTATATAAATAAATAGGAGTTTTATCAAAAAAAAAATTATGTAGTCCATTCCCTTCATTGAATGAATATTTGGGTTCTTTTAAATTTTATTTATTTTAAATTTTATATATTTTTATATCATTATTTTCAATATATGCTTTATCCTCTCATGTATGGCTGAATGGATTTTTGAATGGCAGACTGCTGATGCCCAGATATCAAAGAGCTGAAGAATCAGCAGATGATAGAAATTGCTGGAATATTCAAGTTTACTAATCCTGGCGCAATGCTCATTCTACATATCATGCATTTTGGAGCAGCTACAAAAACTTGCACTGGTAAGTCAAGTGGACCGCACCACTGCTAACATGGTTGAAAACATACAGCTGACATTCATGTGAGGAGTTGGAATTCTTCCCAAGCAACTTTCCTTGGGCTTTGTCTGTCACTTAACTTCCAACTCAGTGATTTTGGTGATAATGTCCAACCTGAATCTCAGCTCTACCACTCACCCCAGACAGATATTTCCCTCATGGATGGCTTCATAAGGAAGGGGAGTTAAGATGGGTTTCATCAGAACTTTTTATATACTGTGTTGTCTACCTGCATTGTAAACTCTTCAGGAATGTGAATAATTTTATACTTTCCCCCCCGTCTTGGTCAGTATTCTGCATGTACTAGAGGGTTTTATTCTGATAAATGCTGAATAATGACAGTAATGATGATTTGAGTAATACCCGGGAAATCTAGTCATGCATTCCCTTGTAGGAAATTGCCACAGTTTATTCCTTGGCCTCTGAAATGTTCTTACTTGTAAAGAGAAGTGTGTGGAAAGCAAGATAAATCACCTAGAAACTCATTGAACATGATTTTATCTCATTAGTCTTTCAATAAATATAACCTCATTTTCACCACAGGACCAGCGTTGTGAGGTTTAGTCACAAGCTTGATAATACATTGGACTGAAATAAACTTAAAGCAGTTTACTGATGGTGAGGCATGGTATCATTTTTTTTAATAAAACTTGGATTTCAGCATTATTTCAGTATGTTTGTACATTTGCTCAAACAGTACTTCAAATTTCCCTCAGAGGATAATGTTTTTGTTAACAAAAGGAACAAGATAATGGAGCTGCATAAAACTAGGTTGTTCCCCCAAATACAAGATATAGAGGTAATGATGACACTTCTGTGGCAACATATTTGTCCAAAATTTTCCTGGAAGGGTGGTGGCTTTGAGGAAGAAGTTGGTAAAGAAGCATGTCTTCTTACCATTGCTTTTCCTGTGTGGGTCTGTTAAGATATCATAAAATTGCTCATCTCGTCTCAACATTTCCTTGAAGCTAAGTTCCTGAGAAAAATAGGAAACTCCAGCCTCCAGAGCATTGAGGTACCTAGAGCAGAAAAAAGAGAAACTGAAAAAACAAACGTAGCTTCTGTGTGGGAGTCTATACTGTTTGTGCCTTGTTTACAGGTCATTTCTGCTGTTAACACCAGAGAAAACACACGCCATGAGATGACTGATTAGGACTGTGGGATCTAATTTAGTGGAAGTGGAGGGAAGTGCTGGGCATCTTCATGCATCTATACGAAGAGTGAAAATGGGGTGAGTATCTGTAATGCCTTACACGCCTATAAAAGGAAAATTTGACTCCACTGCACAAACCAGCCCTGTTAGCTGAGTTTTTGTCTACTGTACAAAAACTCAGAAGTGAATAAATCTCCACAGTGGATTATTGTGTGTTCTACGTTTACCCCTCAAATTGATTTTAGTAGTTTCCCCAATATGCATTTCTGGGGGTGTCCTAGAGTGTCTTCAGAAGCATGTAGGTGAAGAAAGAGTAAATAACCAACTGTCCTGGTGATACAGAGATACAAACAGTAATGCAACCACACAACTCTCAGCAGACACTTTTGCTGGAGTTGAGTGAACCTTGCTGTTTGATTTTATCACAGGCACCCAGAATCCTGTACCGTGTGTCTCCACCCCCATTATTACTCTGAAAAGCTGTGAGAGAAATGACATCTAGGCAGATTGCACCTTTGGAGATATATCTTGCACAGAAATGTGAAAGTGTTCTGACTTCCCCTTGCCCTATTTGTAAAATGGGGAACATAGCTGTTCTCCCATCAGAGGGTTACTGTGGGGACCCATACAACTAACATCAAAGTGCTTTGACAACTAGTCAGAGTGCTGCAAGTGCAGTAAGTGCTGATTATAGTTAAGGCACTGTGTTTGCTTTTATTTGTGTATATAAGAAATGGGCTCATGCCTGTTACAGACTGAAGGGGCCTCTGCTCACAGTTGCCTGCTCTCCAACGCAAGAGCCAGGAGTGTCGCTGATCCTACCTACCAGAAGCAGTCTTCAGACTCAGTAGTGTTCTTGAAAACATAGGCAGAGTTCCAGGAATAAGTTTTGAATGGCAAACTGCTGTTCTTCCAAAAGTCAACCAAGAAATAGGTCAACTTCCTGGCTGGAGACATCAGCCTAGTTAATGTTTCTTTGTAGTCACAGGACAATCCAAAACTTCCAGCAGAAATCATGGGGTAGTTCAAATCTGTGTCAAGGCTGTGTATCCACAGGTGAGAAGAAAACAACGTCAGGGTTAACTTCAAGTCCTTTTTTGACTATTCCAGCATGTCACATAAATGGTAATAACAGACTCATTCAAGCAGGTTCTGACTTATAGATATGTTCTTCCACATGGCTAGTCTTTAAAACAGATTTTTATTATGACTTAAATTTCAGTAACTCTGCATTAAAACATTATAAAGTCTTGGTGTGCAATGCAGATATATCTCCTGAAGTCTATCACTTCAGTTCAGTTCTGTCCTTAACCATACTATGGACCCCTCTGAACTGATGTACTCACCCTCCCTTCTGATAACCATCATCTACTCATAGAGTCTGTTTGCTTTCTCTATAGACCAACATATGTGAAAGGAAAATATATCAATAAAACACTTCTTGAACAAGTGTGACATCCTGAAAAGAGGATTAGGAAAATGAATTCACCATTTATGAGAGTGTCCGCGTACAAAGAAACAGTTTTTGTTTTGTCAGCGTAAAGAGACTTGTGTAAAACACCGTCCGCACCCAGAGGCAGACACTACTGCCTCTCGAGGTAACATGAACAGCTACTGCCGTTCAAAGCAAAGGTAGATTTATCTGGGTTAAGGGCAGGCCGGTGTTGGCGAGGTGACAGACCCTTGGCTCCTATACCACTGACCGTTTTGCCTTGACTGGACTTCTGTGGGATCAATCACTTAGACAGTAAGGGAGCCTGACCTCAATTCACAATGGTTCTTAAACAGCAAGCCAAGTCACTTACTACATCTGGAAGGTGGAATATGTGCACGAGGGCCCCATGAGGACACAGCCCATCTGATTGTCTTTCTGTAAGGGAAGAAAAACAACTCCTCACTAAACCCAGAACAATGAACCAATGGACAGGAGGGGAGGGACAGGGGAAGGTCCCATGTGGTTAGAAGTGGGTCTGCAGAGATGTTGGTCTGTGAGTAGGCGACACGACCTGCAGTACGAGGGCTGGCAAGGCCGCTGAGGGCGAACAGGTCCGAGAGAGCCCAAGCTGTGGGCGAGGAGAGAGGGGCTGTTGAGGGGTAGCAGAGAGCCTGGCTGACTAATTAGCAATGTCTGCAGGCCCGACTGTTGAGACACAAGATTTGGAGGTGTTGCGAAAGAGAGAAGGTTTTGGTATTTGAGGGGCTTCAAGTTGAGCTAATGAGGACCAACAGCAATGCCACAACAGGGCCATGAGAGATCTTATTTTCTATAATTTTCAAAGGGAACCTGATGAAGAACCTCACATTCCTGGTTCTGTAGACCTCTCTCTGCAGGGGCAGAGGGAGGAATCAGAAAGTGTTGCAAACGCCCCATGCTCGCCCCTCTCCAGACAGAGAACAGCCCCTCTGGTGAGGGTGATGTTATGAGTAAAGCTCTGGACCCCTGGCTCTATGCCCAGGGCTCTGCTTCCCAGAGAACATTTGCTCAGGTTTCAGTAGTAAAGAGACGTCTTATACACCTGCTGGTCTCTAGAGAGCATGGAGCGCTCCAGTCTCTGGTGCTTGGGTTGGAGTTGGGAGCTGGGAGGAAGGGTTATGCAAGACTCTCTTCCCACCCTCTGAAGTTGTAATTAAGACTTTCAAGTTGGGATTCAGATTCAGCCCTTAAGCTATTAACCAGTGACCACCCTGTGATGTTGACTTAAGATAGCAACCTCTGGTGAAGGGCCTTGGAATTTGTTTTGAACAGGGCACCTCAGGTATTTCTTGAGAGACACAGAGGCCAACAGTTCACTGCAACATTTTAACTGTAAACAGCTTTATAACAATTTAAAATAATCCCCTCCAGAGGACAGACACTAAGTGGACAGATGGTACATAGCCAAGGTTCTCCTGGCTTGGGAAATATGTGGCATAAAGTCAGAGAGCCTGCCCGCAGGTCCCCGGGCAGCCGGAAGATGGGAGGGATGTTCATGAATGGAGGCCCATGACCCACACTGATCTTCCAGTGCCATGAGATGCAGGTTCCCCACCAAAGTGGACACTGACCGACATCTTCCGGAGTAGGTCGAGGCCTTCACAAGTGCTGCTCCTGCAGTCACTGGATGTGTAGATCAGGTTGTCCGAATAGATGAAAGTAGCATTGACGGTCACATTCATGCCTGTTTACCCAGATAGGAGGGAAAAGCAGAAACTCGGGTTATTTTTCAGTAATGTATCCTGCCACGAGATCAATCTTCTGCCAAATGATCCTAGGAAAAAGTGAACAGCCATTTTCAGGCCTAGGACTAGTTGGGGTCTGAATTCTTCTATGATTCCTGGTCATGTCTTTCCTCCCATAAAATCACCCACCATAAAAATCACCCTTTCTAATTGCATAATTCCATGATTTTAGTAAGTACATTTGTGCAGCCATCCAGCTTGAGAACATTTTCATGTTCGCTGTTCCCTTCATTCTCTTTTCAAAATTCTGTATAAGGTAAAGTTTGCTGTTTGGGCCTGGGGAGTGTTAGGGAAACAGAAGATGAGGCATGAAGATGCATTCTTTCCCAGTCCCAAGAGCTGCTTCTGTTTGCTGCCAAGGTGCATACTGGCACCTCTGTGGGCCACCTCCAAAGCCAGCTGTCTACACCCATTCTGTCATCCTGGTCTGGGAGGTCTGTAAAATGGAGAACTCGCACCTCTGGTGTGTTCTTGCATACACTATTTTAATTTCTCTAGCTTCTTTCATGTACGAGGTATTTATCACCTGGTTAATCCCTTTAGAAAAGGAAAGCAGATCAATAACAGAAATTATTGATCTTCAGAACATGCAAAGGAAATTGTTTTTAAAGGGAGAAAACTGCTTTTCCCTAGAATGGAGGCACCTTGGCACTTTCAGGGCCAACTTGGAGGTGCCTCTAACAGACAGGGAGCATTCTGTCTCTTGCTTTTTTATCTTAATACTAGACTACTTCCTCTCTGGCTGTGCTCAGTAAGAAGTCCAGTAAGAGATGCAGTACTATATGCCGGCGGGACACATAGGAGAGGCCAAGAGACTAAGACAAGCCAGTAAGTATTGGATCAAAGTGAAGCTGGATAAAGGTGCTGGAGGCTAGAAATGCCCTTCGCTTCCCTGTCAACACCAAAGAACACCTCGGCAGTATGGACTGGGTGCATTTGGCTGTGGAACTCACACTCTTGAGGAGTTGGTGTCTTAAGATAATAAGGAATCTCTTTCCATCCTTCCACCAAAATGCTTTTATTCTTCACAACCTGCAAAGATTTCCTGAGACTAAGAAAAAAATTTTGATCTCTTCCATTTGGATACCACACAGCAAGTGAACTCTTCAATTTTCTTTATATTTAAATAGCATGTCTCAGAGTGTTTCCCAAATAGCAATGCTTGATGTGTAACTTGAACATATTCTCTCCCTACTTCTTGAGTCCAGTGTCCTGTCCCTCTTCCCCAACGTTCTCCCCTCATTTTGTCCATTCAGTAACTTCACCATGAATGGTGCGGACAGTAAAACTTAGAAGTAAAAACTTACTCTCTGTCCCATAATCAGTAAAGGCTAGAGCAGGAATTCAAACTTAGGGTGTATGAGCTCGGAGATCAAGACCTTCACCAATGCACTTGACTGTTCCTTTTCTAGTCCTGGACACTTGTCCTCCTCACGGCAGCAACAGCATGGAATTATCACCTCGACATCCTCAGCAAAAGCAGTAAGGCACAACACTAAAAACAGGGCCTCCCTGGTGGTGCCAAGGGTCAAAGTGCAGCCCTACAAAGCTATCTGCAGCCATCAGCGGATTGCACGAGTTCAATCCCCAGCCAGGGAGCTGACCCACATGGCACAGCAGACCTCTCCTGACCCACTCACCTCCCAGTGTATTTCAGTTGATCTGCCTGTTCTGCTCCCCACTCTGGTGTCCCCCGCACCTCTGGCCTATACCCGAGATCTTGTATGCTTCAATAAAATCTTTTAAAAAACTGCCTTATGGTTCAGTTAGAATATTAGATAAATTACATGAACCTCCTCATTTAGTCTATGCCATATCCACAGGATGTAAACACCACCTATCATGATTTTCTAGCTGAAGGGACAGAGACTCGGAAAAGTTTAGTAATTTACTCAAGGTCAGTGGTGATAAATGAGTGAATAAAAGAATGGAATGTGAACCAGTTCTGATTCTGAATCTACATCTAACAGTGTTCTATTGTGTTCCTTGAAGTTCACTCAAGGTTGGTAAAGGTCTTACAGTGGCAACTTCTTAGTATTCTTTAGAAAAAAAAAATCACACAGATAATGGGTTTCTAAAAGACAAGCAAAATTATTCGATCACAGCAACATGGATGGAGCTCAGTGAAATAAGCCAGAAAAAAAAAAAAGAAAAAGAAAAATACCAGATGGTTTCAATCTTAGGAAGAATGTAGAGGATCCAAATAAGGGATTAGGGAAGGAAAGGAAATTATGATAAAGTAAATATCTAAATTAACAGACAACTATAAACCAGAGACATTCTACCAGAGATGGGGATGAGGGAGGGGAAGGGAGCATGATCAAAACAGGGTGTGAAGAGCACAAGGAACTATGATGATGGTGTACGAGTGAAGTGGCGGTGGGAACTTCATGGGGACTACATCCAAGATGAAAAACACATTGTGCAAAAATGAAAAATGTTGAAAAATATATTAAAATTTTTCTAATAAAAATTATTAAACATATAACAAAACAGTGTCAACAACACCCATCTTATAGAGCTATGGTGAGTGAATAGATAATTATCTTCCCTGAGTACCTTTGTGACAGGTACTCAGTAAACAAGGAAGCCAAGACTTGGAGACTCTAGGAAGTAGTTTACTCAAGAGAGGGAATGCTGGAGCAGGGACTTCAGTCCAGGTATATTTGAAAGCAAATATTCTTCCCACTATACCGCACTGCCTTTGAAAATAAAGGAAAATTTATTAAATGAGCTCTTAGTTCTGTTATTGCTCTAGATCAATCCACCTACTTACAGGTGGATTCCTATTAGACAGGATGGAAGACATGTCTATGGCACAGAAGTGATACACTTGTTATTACATGTATACACAGACTTTGGAGAACCAGATCAAACCTTAGAATCACAGATAACTATTAACATGTATGAAGCAGCTACTGAGTCAGTAATTATCCTTCTGGAATCCAGTGTAAAAGAATGAAAAAAAAAACTACATGAAAATGTTTATTGTAGAACTCTTTAAATCATCATGAAAATATTTTTTAAAAGACTACCTGTACTCAGGAATTACTAGGTGGGTTGGAAGGACAGCCACAGCAAGGGATATTTACAGACCAAGATGATGCTATGGATATTGTGCAGTTGTAGGAAGGTTTTATTTGTAGAAGACTATGACATAAATTCAGAAGGGTAGGAAATTTTTCCTATGCCACATGATCTCAAATATAGTCTGAAAACTGAGAAACAACGAGTCACTGGATACATCCAGCTGGTTGGAAATTAAGAGGATCTAACATTAATTCTAATGGTTAAAAGACACCGGGAAGAGCAGCAACATCAAATTGGAGAGCAAATTTACTATGTTGACTCTAGCTTACAGGACAATCCACTAGAGATGCAAAAAGTAGAGTGGGATAAAAAGCCCCAGAGAAAGTTTCAAATTCTGTACTAATTCAACTCCTTCAATTCCTCTTTTTGATTGGAAATCCTGTTAAATTTCAGGTTCAGGACAAATCTTGCCTCAGAGCAGCTACAAAAGGCCACGTGATACCGCCCTGAAATGGGACAGTGAGTGCAGTTTTGTCTGGGGCATCTCACTGTGGTGAGCCATGGGCATTCCCTGGGCCAGGCCAGTCCTGGAGCAGGCAGGCTCTGAGGGGCTCATGACCACAGGGCTCACATCTTGAGGATTTGCTGCCTTAGAGAAAGCCAGATGAGCAGGTAAAGGACACAGGTCTTCACTTGGCAACCCATTGACCCCAGTGGTGGCAAAAGGGAACAGGGATTCAGCCACCTTGTTCTTACCAGCATCTCGCAGTCGCTGTCTCACTATTTCCAATCCCTTTCTCACCACGTCTTCCAAGTCATCCGGAGACTTTGGGAAAGCCGAGTTGTTCATCATCAGGATACTGATGTCATAGCTAACACTGTTGCAGTTCCGTTTCACGTTGGAGGTCCAGAACATCGACTCAGACTGGAGAAGCAGTGCCCACAGAATCAAGCCCAGCAACGGTGCCTTCATGACCTCACTCATTCACAACCATGCTCCTTGTGCTCACTTGCTTTCCTCTGAGTTTTGAGGGAAGCAGTAGTGGAACAGCCTCTAGCTGGGTCCCTCAGCCCACTCTTCCCCATGCCCACTGGTCACATGGGCCACAGACTCCAGCCTACCTGCCAGTAATTAGCAGCTGCATTATGGCAGGAGATAAACCAAAGTTCACTTTGTGTGTTTGCTCACAGAAAGGTCAGAGTTATAAACAGGGAGATTACCTGGGACTTGCCCAATAAAAATACATCAATTTGTGACACATCAATGGGAAGAGAAAAAAGGAAGTGAACAGTATCTATCTATCTATGTATACACATACACACAAACACACACACAAAGCTTTGTAAAATGGAAAACAGGTTAAAGGGCCAAAGGAGAGCACAAATACGATGGACTATTTGTGCTTAGGCTATCGCTGCTCATTAAAACTGAATTATTAGGAAGAGCAATGTTTTACCCACTCGGAAACTATTTATTGATATTTGACTATGTGTTGGGCATTAGCAAGACACTGGGCATATAGCCAAGAAGGATCTGGATGCATTAAATTCCTTATGGAACATGCAGCCTAGTGGGGAAGACAAACACTAAACCAATGACTCTGAATCACTAAACTCAAAAATGGAAAAAGTGCAGAGTGCTGTGGAGTACATGACACATCAATGTAAGCTATTTGAGAAATCCAAGAGACTTCCCTGAGAAAGTGCCCTCCAAGCTGAGCCCTGGAGGATGAATAGGTGAACTGTACAGAAAGAGAGGGAGTGCACCTGAGGCACGGGACAGCATGTACAAAGGCTCAGAGGTGGACGTGGCATGGCTGTTTGAGGAAGTGAGACAGAACGGTGGGAGTGGAGAGAGCTAGAAGTCCTGAGGCAATAAAGGATGCCAGGGTAGGAGGTGTGGGTAGGCTAAGGGGTTTCCTGCATGTCATTAGGGATTTGGAACTTTATTCTAAGATCATGAAAAGGACATGTCCAAATGAATTTTCGTAAAAACCACTTGGGTTGCTATGGAAAGAGGAACCTGGAGAGAGGCAGGAGTGGGGAAATGGAACGGATTAGGGGTTGTTTCTGCACTGCAAGTGAGAGATAAAGGGGGCCTGGGTACAGTGTTAATGGAGATGGGTTTGAGAGAAACCTGAAAGGTAACATGGATGAGACTTGGTATCTGATTGGACCTGGGACATCAAAGAGAGAAAAGAGTCAACAGTGACCCCTGATTATTCAGCTGGGTTAGTGGGAAAGCTATTCACTAAGCTCTTGAATTTTGGAGAGAAGAAAGTTGAGGGAGAAGATCATGACATCTGTTCTTGGACATACTAGATTTTTAGGAGTGAAAGTGAGAAGCTTGATGAAGAGAACATCCAGGTAAACAGGGGTCTGAAAATAGAGTCAGATCAAGTAACATCATTGTGACATCAGAGATGCAATGACCACTTAGGGCAAAATGAATACTTTAATGTAGAGAGAATGAGAAGATGGAAGACTAGTAGGTCCCACTTTTTATCCCTCCACAAAGACAGCAAAGAATTACCCACTGAAAATAGTTCAAGGGTAGTTTTGCAGTACAATAAAGAAGATGTAGAAGCCTAATGGAATACAAAACTCAAGGATGGACCAATAGAAAGCCATAGGGAGCATTTGACATGTGGCATTCTATTCACCATGGCACAGCTCCATACCAGGAGGGATCCCCTTGGCCATGACCTTACATGGTGGAAGAAAGGGAAGGCAGGAGGACCAAGCAGTCAGTACTTCTGACCAACAAGCTGTAAATTGGGGTTCTCACCACCTGTTCCATGAGTTTATTACTTTGCTAAAGTAGCTCACAGAACTCAGGGAAATATTCCTGTTTACCAACTTATATATAAAAGGATATGATAGAAGATACAGATGAATAACCAGCTGACAAGATACATAGAGTGAGACCCAGAAGGCTCCTGTCCCCATGGAGTTGGGATATTAGAACTGGTCAGCATGTAGCTGTGTTTGCATCTATACGGCTCCTAATCCTGTACTTTTGGGATTTTTATGGAGGCTTCATCATCTAAGCATAATCAATCATTAACCAAGTCTCCAGCCCGGCTTGGACAGAGAACTCCAAGCTTCTTATCTTGACTTAGTGTTTCACCAGCCCCCAACCTGAAACTATTCAAGACTGATAAAGAATCTCCTCATTAGAATATAAGCCACTCCTATCATCCAGGAAATTTCGAAGCATTTAGGATTTCTCTTAGAAAGCAAGGTCAAAGAATACATACAGAACAAAAATACTCCTAGTGCTCTTATCACATATACTAGGAAATTGTAAGAGTTTTAAGTGCATTGCCAGGAAGCAGAAGGTAAATACCATTATGTAAATATATTACTAATATATATCTTACATAAACACATATTCATACAAACACACATTTATATTAGTTTTCTGATTTGGATGCTATGAAATAATGGGATCTGTTTGTAGGTAATATGATTATATATGTAGAAAACCCTAAAGACAATAATGTAAAACTAAAAATATAGTAAAGTCACAGATTAAAAAAAAGCAACATATAAAAACCAATTGCATTTCTATACACAAATAGTGAACTATTTGAAAAGAAATTTAAGAGAACAATTCTAGTCACTACAGCAACTAGGGTAATGGAAGTACTCTGGAAGATACAAAACTAAAGAGATGACTCATACTCTAAAATTACAAAACACAGATGAAGAAAATTGAAGACACCGATAAATGGAAAGACATCAACGTTTATGGATTGAAAGAATAATGTTAAAATGTTCATACCACCTAAAGGGATGTATAGGGTAAATGCAATTCCTATCAAAATCCAGTGACATTACATGCAATTCTATAATTCTTAAAGAACCATAAAATATCTTAATATCCGGCCCTCCCTGGTGGCGCAGGGGGTTAAAAGCACAGCACTGAGAAGCTAAAGCCACTTCCGCA